TTGTGGAACAGGTAGTGTCTTCTCACCACTGTTGTTCCCAACAGGCCTCATCACTGGCCTGCCTGCAGTCCAGAATGAAAACACGACCAGGAGGAAAGTCGGACAATAGGAACCAAACTGTTGAACTGACCTAGTATTTCATCTGTGAAATGACGAGGAAAAAAACAAGTGTCTTTTTCAATTCTTTAAAACGTATTTAGTTCACAATCCAGAGTGGACGAAACATGACAGAAGATGTCCCTCTGTGAGACAAATCGAGGACTTATTTTGCTTCTAAGCAAAAAGGGGAAGGTAACGAGAAGTGTTTGATCTGTAGCGTCCTGATCAAATCAGCAGCAGTTTGGTCTGGGAGTTTTCCATGATCACGTCAACATAAGGAACCTCCTCCGTCCTTGTCAGGGCAGAACTTCTGGTCCAGGCTGAGGTGGTGGAGGTGGAAGCAGCAGCAGCAGCTCTCACTCTTGGATAGAAGGCGGCCAGTCCACATCTACAGACTGAGAGGAAATGGGGGGAAAAAATGTAACAGTGGACGAGAGTAGTGAAAAGGTAGATAAAAACTGACTTAGTGAGATTTTGTCCTCTGAACGTTTGTCAAACCTCCACGTCCAGCTCCAGGATGTCAGTGTCCATCTTCAGCAGGTCACACAGGTTGGGTTTGGTGCGTCCAAAGTCTCCGTGAACGAACTCTTTGACGTACCTGTCGACCCAGGTTAAGGCTCCACCAACACACGGGACTGTAACAGATTTATTCTACCGGATGTCTCAGACCTAAGGATACGTCCCAGCTTGAGTCTTCAGCTCCAGGTGGAAGTGATGGGCGTCCAGGAAACGGGTGTTCATACTGTGGACCACACGCTGGCGGACGGCCAACGCGCGTCGGTGCAAAACCCTCAGAGGAGTCTTCTGATCAAGGGTCAGCTCCTGAAGCACAGCAGCAGACAAGAGGATGAACTTTCTATTTTTAAATCCCTTCTTTCTTCCTGTGTAAAAACACGGCGAGGGTCTGTGTTCAAGACGTGGGGTCATTTTCAGGAAGAACATTTTTTACTTTTCCTTTTACTGAGTAACTTTCTCACTTGGTGGACTTTAATTAGCGTCATTTAGTTTGTGTGTGTGTGTGTGTGAGACCACCTTAATGTCACTAATGAAGGCAATGTCTTCTTTCTTGATAGGTTTCCTCGTCCAGATTAGAGCAGTGTAGGTTTTGGTCTTTTCCTCCTCGCCTTCCTTCATCCGACCCATCGCCTCTCTGAGGTTTAACAAACAAACAAACACATATTTAATTTTTTCCCCTTTTCACATTATAATCATTGCGACAGTGCCACGGTTCTCACCTGGAAACAATCTGAAGGTCCCTTACTCTGATTTTGTCTGACGACACGTTGATGCTCTGGAAACAGTTTGTAGCTTTTTAATTTGTGGTTTTGTTAGAATGTACAAAGTCAACTTTAGCAAACGTAGCTCCCATAACTGAACAACTGAACAGCCTTTTCCAACACATAGTGTAAAAACAGTCCGAGTCAAACCTCCTGCAGCTGCTTCATGTCCTGGACGTTCAGTCTGGCTCTGTGAGGATTCAGCAGCTCCATGGCAAACGGTCGACCTGTGCAGGTGTCACGCAGACAAACACGACGGTGACTTACTCAGACTGGTGTAAACAAAGACCCAAACATTTGTTGAAACTGCTTCAGAAAAATAAAAAAAATGACCAAAAATAGTCTCACATTGGCAGAAAATATAGCAAACAACAAAATGACTAAAGATTCTTTAAACAAAAACAATTATGCCTTGGCCAAACATAAAAATATTTTTGTGAAATTTAGACAGAAAGAAAACTAAATATAAAACATCCAATATAAGTTATCCAAAATATAATTGAAGCTTTTTTTTAAGTTATCCAAAATATAATTGAAGCTTAGCCAAAACATTAATACAATTAGCCTAGAAGCTAAAAGTTAGCTATAGGTATATATTATCTACAATATACCAAAAAAGACTAAGTAATTGGTTGAACCTATAACTAACTCTAATAATTGTTACAGTGTTGATTAAACTACCCTGTAAATTAATTTTCTTCAATCTTTATCACACAAACACTAACTTTAAGGACAATTCGAAGAATCGTTCTGACCGTTTCCCAGCGTTCGCACATCGACGTCCTCTCTGCCTGATGAGGAGAAATTAAAACCTGTGACCAGAGAACGAGAAGTTGAGAGTATTGAACAATTCATCAGGTTTAGATAAAAGCAAAACGTTTGACGTTTAAGACTAAGACTAGTGGTCGACTGCTCCCTCTTGTGGTCAGCTTGTGTCATTGACGGGCATTTTAAGGTGATAGTCCCAAAACAACACGTCTACTCTGACTGTGGTGTCTGTACGTGAACGTTAAAGCAGTGAACATCTGCTACAGATAGTATTTGTCTGCAGCACGTCAACTCTGGAACCTTTTTTAATCTTAATAATCTGGTAAATATTAGTGTAAGCCAACACGAGGGTCAATTGAAACCAGGCCCGGCTCACCATTGGCTCTGAATGCAGACAGGACGGGGGCTGCGATCAGCTCCTCCACCGACGACTCCATCCTCCTCTCTCCGTCAATGAGCCACGGAGTCTGCGGTAGGCTGCGGCAGAACTTGTTGTACCTCCCTGAGGGTTAAAGAACGCAGCTGAGCATCCTGGCACTTCTGCCATTTGGAAGCAGTGAAACGTGGTTTCCTACAGTACCTGCTATGAAAACAGACTGGTGCAGACACTGGATGCCCTGAAGAACACAGCTGCTGGACGGCTGTGTTGGTGGACAAGAGTAGTGTCTGCAGACAGACATAAACGCCCAACATTTACATTTATTTTTGTGCAGGATGGTCTGTTGGTAAAGGTGACACTCACCTGAGAAATTTGGCCTCGGAGATCTTCTCCAGAGCTTTGACCACTGCCATCCTGGTGAAAACTGACTGCAGGAGATGGAAAAGAGGTGATATTGGTGTTAGTGTCCCTGTATGAGAGACCAGTCTGGGAGATGGTCCATTCTGAGCTTTGGTTTGTGAAATCTGTTGACTGGTGTGGGAGAATAAATAGCGAACAGAAAATGAACTATATTTAAACCAATAACGTTCCTGTTGGTAAAGACAGGGCTGGAAAGGCCACGGCATAAAATCATGATATTTTTATAATAAAACGTACATTCTCACCTGTTTGTTCTTGGTGGGCTTGAAGCAGTCGGGACACGTCGACCCTCTGAATGACAGACATAACAACAAGATCAGACATCTTTTATCTCACAGTCCCTCAAGTCTGTTAAAAAAAAAAAAAGTAAACTTAAAAATAAATATCATTTAATTATGAAAAATAAACGTGACCTCTTTCCACATCTGGATTTATAAGAGACGTGTGAGATGGAAATAAACACAATATTTAAGATTAAGATAAAAACTTACAGAAAGTGACAGTCGGAATCTGTTGGATTATGGCTAAACTCCACTGCGACCTCTAGTGGACTCTGAAAAATATAAGTCTGCAAATTAATCTGAAGTGCCTAGAAATGTCAATGGAGAAAATTAGAATTGCTGATGATTGGACTTACAATATAAAAGCACAGATATATTAATATTTCGTATAAAACCATAAACTTGGATATTTCATTAGTCATTTACATGAAATACTACATTCCTAATAAGTTACTGTGATCCAGGTCAAAAGCTCTATATAACCCAAAATCATAGCATCAACATAGTTACTGATCAGTTTCATTAATTAGTTATAAACTTTAATAACCTTGGTCACCACAAAAACCCCTCCCAGCTCTGTGGAAATGGTGCTCTGGACCAGCCACTTGTAAGCCTCCTTTAGCGGAACAATGTCTTCTTTGTCCAGCAGGGGGCTCTTCTCCCTCGGAGTTCGAAGTTGTAAAGTTACAGCATCAAACTCCACAAAAAGTGTTCAAGAGTGAAGAATAAGAGAAGAGAATTACCTCACTTCCTTCTTCACGTGAAGCCAACAGGAGTGCTGCAGAAAACAAAAGTCGTTTGAAAAGTCAGGGAAAAGCAGAAAGTAAATATGTTTTAAGTTTTATTTCAGTAGTGTTTGTCTCTGTGTAATGTTTCACAGGATTTTGATTATTTCTAGGTCAGTTTATTATTTAACTATTCTCTGGTGTCTGTCACTTTTTCCCACATATCTTTGGCACAGCTTTAGCTAAACCTGTTTTCCATTACATTAAAATGTTGATTTTTTTTTTTTTTTTAATGAAGAGAGTTGATCATATGCTTAATTTGTTCCAACATCTCACTAACTGACAGATAACAGATGAACCAGACCTCACGGACACAGAGCTGAGCGGGCAGAGAGACAGACAGCACCAAGGAGTCAAACTCGTACTTCTCAGTCTTCACAGCCTCTGCGATCTGAAAAAACAAACACAACAACCTGAGTTACTCTTCTATTTTCTAGCGGTACTTTCTGCTGTGTCTGTAATCTGGCTGAAACTGGAATCTGTAATAACAGAGGTATATAGGTGTTGCATTTAGACAAACCTTCACGGCCTGATCAGTGTCACTAAATTCCTGAAGGACTCCCAAACACACCACACACACACAATGGGTCTCTGTGATGATAGCAGCAGCTGCTGCTGCAGCCGCCTCAGCCTGGCCGTCGTCTGACAGATCAGTCTCCAGTTTAGCTCTTTTGCTGGGTGGATCTGCAGCAGCTTCTGAAACAACTGGATCACAGGACTTGTTGTCTGTTGACACATCACATTGATTCTTTTCTGGACCGTGAAGGAAATCCTGGAGATCTTTGAGTATTTCCTGCATACATTTTATATAAAAAATAAATATCCTTAATGAAGATTAGACACCTCACAACTCGTACAAAACAAGTTCTACCTGTTGGGGTCGTCGATAGGCGGCTTGAACGCGGACACAGCAGAATCTGAGTACACAGCGAGCGCAGCAGCCCGCCGACAGCAGCTTCTGGACAACAGGCTTATCCTTGTCCTTCAGAGGCAACATGACTGCAGCTGAGGGTATTTATTTTTATTTTTTTTACTTCTCAGGAGAACCTTTAAAATACAAGCAGATTAGTAACAGTATGGATTAGATGACTTTAAACTTGGTTTTTGATCCACAAATGCAAAGCTTGTTTCTACCACTAATCAGGAGCTGGTTATTCACCCCAAGATACAGCAGTGGGGCAACTGGAGTTCAAAATACAGTACAAATAAGCAATTTAATTAAAAAATAGCTTAGAAAATATATTTAAAAATAGAATGACATCGTAGATGGCTTGACAAGATTCATAAAGAATTAAAGGGAGTAAAAAATATTTAATAGCCAACTTACACATACGTTATTTGAGAAATTGCTTTAGTTAACTATAAATATTACATCTGCAAGTTAGCATATTATTTTATTATATATTATAGCATATTACAGTTGTAATGTCAAATATTGCTGCACGGTTACACAACACATCCTGTTTCCATTAGTGACTTTTTATAACCTGTGTTTATATAAGCAATATTAATGATTGTGTCATAATACCGACAGACACCACTAGGGGGAGCCCGCCTAAAGGGCTGTGCTGGAGCCGGTTTCATCCAACAAGGAAGTCGTGCTTCTTGATTCTATCTTGGTTGTAATTGTTTTTTATATATTAAAAGTAAATATGTGACACTTAAGCGTTCCACCTCTCCCTGACAAACCTAACTTAATAAAAAAAAACGACATGGGGAAATAAACAACAGAGACGAGGCAACAACACGGTAAGTTTCCCCCAACACAGCTGTAGCTGTTAACAGGGAAAGTTGTTGGAATAGAAACGTGTGAAGCCGATACTCTTGTTGACAGGAAATACACATTTTGAAATAGAATTATGGTATCTAGTAACAAAAATAAAACCAGTGATGACGATAATACTGACAGTAATGTCAATGACAGTAACAGCAGTAGTTGCAGTATTTTGGAATTTTTTGATACTAGTATAGTGTCTTCCCGAAACATGAGGTTAAACACCAAAAAAAAAAAAAACACGTTCCGTTTGTTTTTTCCTTTACTAGATGGTGAAAACTGAAAAACGAACATTACATAGCGTCAGCAGACGACTAACAGATACACACAAAAAAGAGTACTTGTCCTACTAAACAGAACGCTTTTAGCGAAATAATCATGAAATAGATTACAGAAACAAATAGACTAAACAGTATGTACACTTACGGCATTGCCTTATTAACATTTCAGAGCGATCGAAAACGGATGGAAATAGATTGATTAGCATCTCCATTCCACCACTTCTCGAATGTTTTCTATTTTCTAAAACGGATGTACCGCTGCAAACCGGAAGTGTCGCGGTAAAAAAAGAAGTGTTTTTTAGCTAGCTAGCTATTATAAATATATATATATATTTATATATATTTATATATATATATATATATATATATATGCATGTGTTCTTCTTTTGATTCCAACATTTTATACCATTTTAAACTATACTACCAATTTGTTATTTCATATGGAAACGAGTGACTTAAGGGCAACTGAACTACTGTCTAGCGTGTGTGGCAGTGGGATGGGGGGTTGAAATTTAAATCATAAATCTTACATCTCTAAACTTAAAAATCTTTCTTAGGGCGGCTGTGAGGTGCAGTGTGTTCCTCTTCCTCTTACACTGTGGTGTGGTCTACGTTTCATCTTATTAGCAAAAGCGCTAAACCACATCCTGTGTAAAGGTTTGTAAGTCATACAGACCTTTACACACAGCCCAGTCTCATCATTTAAAAAAACAAAAAATGTGTTCTGATCTTAACACAAAGATCAACATTACCTACAAGCAGCAATCCGCCAGTGTGCCCGTTTGGGGGTTCAGGGGGACAACCCAGGCCAATCAGTTGATGTGGCGGAGTTAGCCCCCTGTAAACTCTCCCTGAGTTTTTAATTCAAATGTTTTCATTTCGTTTGACTCAACATAATTACATTGACTCATGTATGTATATCTGTATCAGCATTTCATGTACAGTGCTTTAGTACTTATAGTTAAATTGTATTTGTTTAATTTATGTTAAAATACTGACTCGCCATGTAATTAATATAACCAAGATCTTTTTCCATGACTACAACTACATTCTGTAGAGTAGTAAGTTCTGGACATTAGTCTTTATGTTACTGTCTGTTCTCAAGGCTGTATCAAAAAATGGATGGACTTCATTCTCAGTTGTGGTCTCATCTGTTTGGAATCAGAGTCAAGATTACTGAAAGTCAATGATGATTTGGGAGCAATGGTGACTTGGTTGGTAAGGAAGTGGACTTGGCTTCCTAAGGTTTCAGGTTCGAGGCCACCTGCTGGCAAGTTGCTACTGGGGTGCTCTGAGCATGGCACTCTCCCTACACACTGCTTCCTGGGAGCTTGAGTTGCCCCCTACTCACGTTGGTGGTTTCTGTTGTTCCTCGGACATTGTTTCTTAGTGAAACTCACTTTGATGAGATAGGTTTGGTTTAAAAGCCACTGAAGTACTTCCTCACAGATTATTAGAAAAGATTAAGAAAGAAAAAAGATTAAACTTGCACAAACCACAAGTCCCTTCTTTATTTTACTCTCTCTCTTTCTATCAGCTTCAACTTGTTTGTTAATCTTGTCCTGTAAAGAGGAAGAAAGCTTGGTGTATTTAAAGCATGAATTCTAACTTCCACTCACTGTTCTTTGTAAATCTACAAATGACAGAGTGACGACCTCATGGACCGAGATTATTTCTAATTTTTTTTAATCACATACTTTGTTTTTTTTATTGAGTTTATTGTAAAGTAGAGATGAGATCTGCAGTAGAGAGTCTGACCACAGCAGTGAGAGGATTTCTTCTTCTTCTTCTTCTTCTTCTTCTTCTTCTTCTTCTTCTTCTTCTTCTTCTTCTTCTTCTTCTTCTTCTTCTTCTTCTTCTTCTTCTTCTCACTCTGCCAGGTATTGTATGTCTCCATTATTACAGGTCACTCATCATTAATCTGGTTCATTCCTCTTTAATGTGCTGCACACACTTATTCAGTAGGAATGTCACCTATGAATCAAACATCACTTTATTTGATTTCTCAACAGTTTTTAACCATTTCAAGACAATTTGAGACATTTTAAACAAATACAAAATGTAAAAAAAGCCTCATATGTATCATATTGATTAAAACATCTGTATTAGTTGAAATGTTGTTTTTTTAATCTTTGACACAGTGATGATGTTTCAGTTAAGAGGAAGGAACTAGACCTGACTGAGCTGTTAACACTTGTCTCAGAGCATCAGACTCTTAAAGGAGCCTCACCCTCTATTTAGTTTAAGAAATAAAACTGAAGTCAATCAGCAGATCAGTGGTGACATGGAACACAGTGAGGATGTGATGCTCTGTCAGCTCAGACAGCTGTTAGTCACTGCCCCAGTCTATTTGAAGAAATGAATGAAGTTCAACTGAATTCTTTAAGACATTTCTGTCCCCTTTGCAGGATGAGACACATATTTTTCATATTATTACGACAACTAATAATACTGTTTTTT